CTGATTAAAGGGGCAAAACTATATAACAAATATATATAAAAAACCTTTAAACAGCTCCCAGCTACGTACCAAGTGTCTTAGCTCGGCCCGTCCCCTTCCATTAGTCACGGCCTGGACAGTCCTCATGGCACGTATCTGTTTACGTATTGGATATTACGTCGTCCTAGAAACTAACAAAATAGAACCGTCGTCCTATTTTATTAATCCATGCTAAAAGAGTTTCAGTCCAAATTTGGCCATAATATTCATTAGTACACACGAGATTGGCAATTCAGATCACTACATAAACCTCTAGAGATTATTCAAGGAAATTCTTTCGGTTGCGGCCATACCATGCAGGAAGCACTGTTTCCCGTCTGATCAACGTTAGTTAAGCTGCATAGGGCCACACTGAGTAGTGTAGTGGGAGACCATATGCGAAATTGTGGTGCTGCAATCTTTTTCCACTTCACGATGCATATAATGAGCTGACAATGAAAGAAATGCCTGTTGGTAACGCGGAAGGTTCTACCCCCGCAGGTATTTTTTCTTGAATTGCAATTTATGGCTCCTTAAGATCGTTTATGTCAAGGAAGTGCCTCGGCCTGGCGTGATGTCTGTTAAATTCGACGCGCTTTAAGCGACGGTTGGAGCCACAGGCTTGAAAATCTCTCACCCTTGACAGGAGGCAGACTTCAGCTGAATCCTGCCCGGAATATACATTTATGACTTTAAGTGAACACGCTTCGAAAATCACTTTCCCGCTAGAGAACGGCATTATCTTGCAAGCCAAAATATGACAGATCCTGTATAGTCTAGCATGTGCGATCTCGGACTTTTCTGGGAATTTCGCCCCAGATCAGATGTCAGTTATTGTTGGACAGGCTCAAGCCTTCACCGTTCGCATAAATAATACGATAAATGTGTATCCTGCGACAGCAATCCAAGAATGAGGCTAACTAAAAAATCCTGGCCACTTGGATTGACTCACACTGCTCTTCTTGGTGCCTCGGGTGATTGCGAATTCTTGATGAATATCAGAGTATGCGCGGTGGTAGATGGCGAAAGTCCACTTGGGCGTTCACCGCGACGCGATTCAAAGAATTATTATCGAGGGCACCCAGAGATGCCAAAAAAATACAGCTATCTTAGATCAAACTATGGCTCATCACTCCAACCTCTCTTCAAAAACATGGCTCATTACAACAGTGCACAGCTCCCACACCCTTTCTTGTTCCATATTTCCTCTTGGTGGTCCTAGGCTTGTATTGTCATTCTTCTCGGCCCGCGAGTGGTGGTGTAATTTCTTCATAATATATTTACCTTTGTAAGGCTTAAATTTATTACCCCGGAGTGGGGTGATAGATCCTCCGGGAAATTCATAGTCTTTAAATGATGAGATGTAGTATTTTGATGAAAGCCTGTTTCTCCACCAGATTGACCTAAAGAACCAAAGAAAAGATTAACGCGTGTATTAGAAATTTCAATAGGTATACTATTTTTTCGTTCAATAACACTAGATATTGATATGTTTTTATCTATAATAATTGAAATGATCTGAAAATGGTTCACTGTTATTAGAATAGATATTTTATAAAGAGCTTTCCAATCTACACACCGAGCAGCGTATCAGATAGATCGCAGTGATTTACTTCACCAGTTAATATACAGCTCATTTTTATTTTACTACTTGGGTGTCTATTTCAAATCTTTGATATCTTTATTTCGAAGAAAATGGGCCTCCCTCCCTTGAAATTGAGCACCAGGGTGAAAGTTCTACTAATTATTCACCAAGAGGACCAATAGAAGTTTTGAACAAATTACATCTAGGTTCATATAATCACTATAACATATGTGATTATTTGACCTCTATCACAAATTCAACCATATGAGAATCAAAACTGCCATGTGCATATTTCAACAAAGCTTGTTAACTAGCATCTATCATCTCTTTTGGAAAACGCCCCTACAAGTCGTGAGGATGGCGCTGCGCCCGGGCCGCGACAGGCAACTGCGGCACGTGACCCGCAGCACGTGACACGCGCGCGCCGCTCCGTTTCTTCGCGCAACAGCTCCAAGCTTCAGGCTCAGCGCCACAAAGAGCACCAGCACCACAAAGCGCCGCCGCAAAAAGCACCGGCACCAACCAGCAGCAGCCTGCAAGTACCACAAAGCTGTTCTCCTGCATCCACCCCGCCCGCGCCTGCACAATGCTCGCGCGCAGCTCGCCCCGCGGCGCTCTCCGCGGCCTCGGGCTCTCGCACACAAAAGCGTACGCCCGGCGTCGCCTATCCATCGACGAGTTCAACAAAAACAAAAAGGACTTCACGTTCGGCGCGGACGCCGACAACTTCGGCCGCGGCAGCCGCCACCGCCAGCTCCAGGGCGCCTTCGAGGACCACGCGCCGCTCGAGGAGCACCCGAAACTCCAGGGCCTTGACCGCGCGTCGCCCGAGTACAAATACCAGCTCATGTTGCTCCAACAGGATTTCCAGAACAAGCGGCAGCAGCAGCGCGCGCAGTGGGAGCTCGCGGAGCGCGTCAAGGGCGTGGGCGCCGGGCTCTTGGCGCTCGTGGGCATTCTCGCCGCGTACCAGCTCGTGACCAACCACAAGTATCTCCGGGCGCAGGTGCGCGGCTGGTGGGCCCCCGGCGTGGACGTGTCGCGGGTGCTGGACATGAACGACCCGAAGGGGAACACGCGGGCCGTGGCGCACTTGGCCGAGCGGCTCGGCGCGGACGCGGACGCCGGCTTCCTCGCGGCCTTGCGCGACTCGCGCGTGCCGGGCCTCTACTTGTTTGGCGCCGTCAGCGGCAAGAGGCTCCCCGCGCGGGCCGCTGGCTTCGACGGCATGCTCCTCGCCGACGTGTGCGTGCAGGACGACTACCTCGTGGCCATCGACGACAAGGGCCGGGTGCTCCACTACGCGCCCGGCATGGCCTCGCCGGTGTACGTGCACATGCCGGCCAAGGTGCGCCAGGTCGTGGCGTCCGGCGGCCGCTACTTCTATGTGGCGCGCAACGGCCGCGCCGTGTGGTGCGGCGGCCGCGTGGACCCGGCCACGCAGGCGAGGCCCGGCTGGCTTACCTCCGGGGCGCCGTACGCCGTGTCCTCGGTGGCGCTCGACGTGCTTGCGCGCGGCGAGCGGCTCGCGCTGGTGGCCGCCGGCGCCGAGCACCTCCTACTCCTCACCAGCCACGGCCGGCTCTTGGGTGTGTGCAGCGCGCGTGCGCCGGCCAGCAAGGGCCAGTACGGGCTCCCCCGCTATGCGCAGGCCGACGCCCCGGAGCCCGTGCCCACAGACGTCGCGTTTGACTTGGTGAACTTGAACAACGAGGTGGTGACGGCCAGCAGCGGCGCCAAGGCCGTGCGCCCGCGCACGTTCGCGGCCATCGCCGCCACGGCCCACGCCAACGCGGCGCTCGACCTGGCCGGCGCCTTGTGGACGTGGGGCGACAACGCGCTGTGCCAGTGCGGGCGCCCCAAGGCCGTGGCCGACGACATCCAGCCCGTGCCGCGCGCCGTGTATGCGCTCAAGGACTTGGCCCGGATCCTGCGGTACAGTGTCGCAGACCGGGGCCTCGCGGGCCGCTTCTCGGCAGACGCGCTCGCGGCGGCCAACAACACGTTTTACGTGAAGATGTCGTACCGTGTGGACGGCGACCCGCTGCTGGCGCAGGACTTGGTGCTCAGTTTCGGCGACGGGCTCCGCGGGCAGTTGGGCATCTCGCGGTACTTGCACATGACGCCCACGCCCCACGTGCTCAAGAGCCTCGTGGGCTTGCGTGAGTTCGACGAGGCCACGCAGACCACGCGCAACATCGGCATCAAGAGCATCGTGCCGGGCGGCGACCACACGTTCGTGACCTTGGACAACCACGGCGCGCACAAGGACGTGTTGGTGTTTGGCGACAACTTGCAGGGCCAGTTTGGAAACGGCAGGACGGCCAAGAGCGCCCGCCCGGCGCAGATCCCCAAGCTCCTCGAGCCCGAGAACTTCGACGAATCCACCAAGAAGTTGGTCTTGAAGTTGAACGACCAGACCAAGAACAGACTCCAGCTAGCCGACGGCAACACGGACGGCGTGGAGCAGGTGCTTGCGGCAGGCGAGCTGAGCTCCGCCATCTACTACCGCCGCAAGTAGTGGAATGTATTAATTTATTATAGGATCTTGTTTATAGCATACATGCACAGCCGCTCACAAGTCGAACAACTCCTTCAAGATACGGATGGTGTCTGCTGGCTCCTTGACGGCATGGCCAATCGTTCTGTCGTCGTTGTAGATCTCGTAGTCGTTGCCGCCCTTGTAGGACTTGTCTCCAAAGAAGTGGATCTCCTTGAACCCCTCGTCAGCAACGTGCTGCAAGGCGTAGGTCTTGTCCCAACCGGTTGGGAACACATCGAACGAGATCTGGCCGCCGATGGAGTACGTCAAGCCGTAGTCTGGGAAGTTGTCTCTCAAGGCCTGCACCATGGTCTCTCTGAGCTTGTGTTCAAGGTCAAACTTCTCGAACTCATTGCGCTCCTGTGTCGAGGCGTTTCTGCCCACTGGCGAGATGTTGATCATACCGTTTCTGAACTCAACGAATGTGCCTCTTCTGACGGGGAGGTCGAGCTCAGACAAGTACCTCAAGACGAACTTGATCAACTTGTTGTACTTTTCCTCGCCGATCCAGCCGATGAAGGACTGCGAAGCAAGCTCTTTGCCTTGCTTGTAAGCGGTCAAACCGTTCTCGGAGAAGCAGTAGTCGAAGTCTTGGAGAACAGTAGGGCCGAGCTGCTCCACTTGCTTGGAGAGGTCAGAACCGCCGACAAAACCAACAACAACCTTCTTTCTCAAGGCTTGCAAAGTTTGCTTCATCTCCTCGGAGATGGTCAATCTAGCTGGGGTCAACGTACCGTCGACATCGAACAACACCAAGGTGTCTGGCTTTTCTTTGTGGGCGAAGGACATGTTCTGCAGGTGTTTGGGTTCAATTATTCAGGGTGTGAAAACGGCAAGGACTGGCGACGTTTTTTATAGTCGCGCTGCTGAGACCCAACGTGTCTGACGCGACGAAAAGTGCCTGCGTGGATGTCGCGGCTGCGACGAGACATGCACGAATACGAGGCTTGAAATAAATTTGAGTGGTGGCAAGGGTGGCGCCTTTTATAGATTCAGGGGGAAGTTTTTTTTTGCAGCCACACAAATGTCGGGCTTCTGCAGGCACCGGGTCTTGCAGACCACGTCCTATAGACCAATACGTTCTGTCACATATCTTCTCTTTTTTGCTGTTGTCACGTTGTGAAAAGTATGTTCTCATTTATGTGGTACCCACGTGCTGCAGTTACTTGACAAGCCAAGTCCTGGGGTTACATTGAACCAAATCCACTACATTATGTATGTTTTTGTTATACTACTGAGTGGGGAGTTGAACAAATCGTATGTCTGTGGTTTTGAAAGTTGTGCACATGGAATGTTATGATGCATACTGTGGCAGCCGGCTTTCAATAAAGCCGGCCCCACAATCACGACATTCTTCTCTTGGAATGTCGCCCACGGGTCTTGGCGTACCGAATAAAAGATTGAGATGTAGTCGCTTGAATCTCAATATTTGATCTCTCGCTACTGTTGAATATACTGATACGCCATTGAAGCTGCTGGGATTAACTGAACATGTGAAGAGGTATAGTAATATGACACACTGCTGTTTTTCGTGGACTACTGCATGAGCCAAAGTGACCATCATATATAGATACAACAGTTTATAGGGGGAATGGAGGCAAAGTGGTCGAGTTGAAAGATGAACTGGATTCTAAGGAATATCACTTACGAGCGCAGCCAGCACAAAATCACCATTATTTTCTTTTCAACCATCTATTTTGGTTAGGAATGCTCCACTCATACTCGCGGATTTCTTCACAAGCATAGTAATTATCCGTCTACATTTCACCCATCTACAGCAAGATCCAGGGCTTGTTTATCAACAGAGTGTCATGCATAGGACAAAAAGCCACAAATCCAACCGCCCATCAAATGGGAATGGAAACAGACATAACAGTGTCATACATAGCATCTGATTACTGGTATCTTGATTCGGCATTTCGATCATTGATATAAAGAGCAGAACTCACTAAAACAAGAATGCTTTAACATAAGGGCTGCATGGTATGGTGTGCCGTATGGGAAAGCCGCATGTGAAGAGACCAGTGATGAGAAACGTGAGTCCATGCTGCACCCGCATATTCTATATCCTCAAACAACGTCAGTGAGTCAATGGATTTTCTGTTCTCACGAGGAGCTTCCCTGATCTTGGGCACCGCTACAATGACAGCTACAGATACGGGCATGAATATTAAGATTCAAGATCATGTTGATTACAGTACTAAAATATACACCGCACAGGCTTAAACTTGGTACTTGTAGTCTGGGAATTGAGCCAAGTTCTCGGCCAAGTTACCCTTTCTGGACAAGAACTTGACGTAAGCACCGTCGTCTCTGACCTCACCGTTGTTCTTCTTGGCAATGTACTCGTCTCTGTTGAGAGGAGTGAAACCCCACTTCTTGGAGATAATGATCTTTTGCTGACCTGGGAACTTGTATCTGGCTCTTCTCAAACCCTCGATAACGACGGCCTTGTTGGAGTCCTTGGTTCTGGCAGACATAAGAATTTGGCCAATGTTGACTCTGGCAGCCAAACCGTGAGGCTTACCCCAGGCACCTCTCATACCTTGTTGCAATCTATCGGCACCGGCACACGACAACATCTTGTTGATTCTCAAGACGTGGAAGGGGTGGACTCTGACTCTCAAGTGGAAAGAGTCTCTTCCGGAGATCTTGGTGATGTACTTGTTGGCGCAAATACGGGCAGCTTCCAAAGCCTCGGAGGACAATTGTTCAAGCTCGTTAGAGACCAAGTGGACACACAATGGGAACTCATCGACAGTGGCCTTCTTTCTACCCAAGTCGTAGATTCTGATCTTGGCGTCTGGGACGGCTCTGTTGTATCTAGACTTTGGGTAAGGCTTGTTCTTACAGTATCTGTAACATCTAGCAGGTCTTCTAGCCATTTTGTCTTGGAATGTTAGTAGGGAGTCAAAATTGTAGGGCGTGGGCGTGCGAGGGTTCTTATATATGAGCTTGTGCTGAAAGATGCTTATTAATGGTGCGCACTGCCATGCAGTCACTTCTGCGATGCATGAATATGTAAGATACAAAAATTTGAGACGCCATTCACACACAAAGATGCACTGAGTTATATGGAAGGATGCACCGAGTTATATGGAAGGAGCTTGCAGCAGACTATGCTTCTCACCCTTTTTTTCAGGAGAGTCCATTTAGATGCTGTAAGATGAAAGACGGAGTGCTTGAAAGAACTTCGGGCCTAATGGACCACGCGGAATAGAGTCTGTGATTTCTGCTCACAACAGAAAAGCAAAAGACACAGTATCAAGGGTCTTTTTTGCTGTGTCGATTAATTCTAAATCTCACCATCCATTTTGATTTGGGATTTTTCCAAAACCCCAAAAGCCCCAAGTTCTGGCATGAGTGGTATCCCCCGAGCTTGAGCATACATCCAGAACTCTCGCTTGCACTTCATTCATGTAGTTTTGGAACATACCTGTTGTTTACTTGATGGTCAAAAAAAGAGGCCCTTGGGAATTGAACAATTTTTTTTCTCATTGCCCAGCGCGAGCAGCGCCGGCGTGCACACAGCGCGGCTTGCTTAGAAATCGCGGGCACGCGCCCACGCACGTGACTAACTGTGACTGCTTGGCTGATCACGTGGCAACTGGTTCTCGCAATTGGCATGCTTCACCAGTCAGTAGTTGACTAGATGAGCCATGCTTCTTTTTTTAGTTCTTGTGTATAGTCCATTTCGACAGAAATAGCCGCGAATCCTGCCTGTCGGATGTTACGGACTTATGGGCCGACCACATGTGCACGTTAGTATGGACAAGTGAAATGGAGGCCTTTTTTTTGTGCGGTGTTCAAAGTTGCGGGCGAAGTTTAATTTGATTTTCTCGGTATTTGCTTTGCAATTTTGGTGTTCCTTGGTTTTAACTGAGAAGTGTTTTGTTTCTTCCGTGTTGTGCCCTCATTGATATCAGACGGTGAAATGTTATTGCGCAATATTGGACTTGCGGCGCAAGAACTACATCGCACAACGTAGAGGGCATGGGGACCACGCTCAATAACTTCCAAGTAGAACATAAGAAAATCTTTTGGGAGCCGAAACTTTTGGTCTCGCAAGATTCAAACATGCCTCGAATAATTGTCTTACAATCAGTCTTGCCATTCAAGAAAGAACGAATTATGTGCATGAGCATGAACCGCCGCCGTGTGCAGGACCGACATGATCTTCCCTGCGATCACGTGACCAGGCCGGGGCTGTCTCTTGTCCGTGGCGAGCCATATCAGTGTCCATTTCCTGTAAAACATCGTATGGAGAATTTCCAGCTCCTGGTTGTAATCTGCCAGCCTGAAAACCGTAGTCTTCTGCGGGGCCTGCCTAATTTGGCCCATTGATTATTCCAATTTTTTTCTCAGTGCGCGGTGCGTTCTCCCCCAGAGGGAAGCTCATCGCAAGAAGCCTTCCTCCATATCACCTACAGTATACAACACATCAAAATGGGAAGGTACAGTGTAAAAAGATACAAGACAAAAAGAAGAACCCGGGATCTCGACTTGGTGTATAATGATCTCTCGAGCCTGGCTTCCATCATTGCGTTGAAAAACCAGCCGCTCGACGAGACCAAGCCGGGCTTGGGCCAGTACTACTGTGTCGAATGTGCCAAATACTTCGAGAACCAGATTTCCTTGGACCGCCACACCAAGGGCAAGATCCACAAGCGCAGATTGAAGGACTTGAAACAAAGACCATACACGCCTTTGGAGAGCCAGGCCAGTGCCGGGTACAACTTGGAGAAGTACTTGCAATCGGTCGAAAAGTACAAGCAGATCGAGCAGAACAAGAAGGACAACCAGGCAGAGTACGACGCGCTTGTGGGCCAGAAGAAACCGGACTTGGACGAAATCATCACGGGGGTTCCAGCCGAGGAGCAGCCGGAGAACATGGAGGAGTGAGTCGGCACCAGCTTCCACAACCTGATCCATGTACGCTGCCATGGCCGGATGAATTGGGGGATCTAGGCGGTCTGAAACAGGCCTCCAAATGGCATAGCTGCTGGGTGATGAAAGAGCTGCGATCTAAAGGCTCTTTTGCTGGACTGACTTGATATTGCGGGATTGTAGAAGCGCGAACTGGCACTGAGAATGGCCAGGTCTCTTAGGGTAGCTTTGGCTGGCCAAGAAGCCGCCACGGAGTATAAGAATAAAGGAAAGTATAGACATCTTGAGAGAGCGCAGCGGCGACTACAGATGACGGGACACGGGGGCCCATCAGGAGAAAACGGCACGTGACGCCGGGGCCAGTAGATCGGCGAAGTTGGGGCCGGTCACGTGGCCCCGGATGCCAGGCCCACGCACGCCAGAGTATATTCTTGTCCCTATCCCGTAGCCCAGAAGGCCAGCAGCAGGCTGCTGCCGGATCTGTAGAGAAGCGAGCGGAGCTACTCTATGGTGCAGCGCGCCTGCACACAGAGCGGCGCATGCGCCCGTCTGGGCAGAGATGCGCGACGAAGCTCATCTCCAAAGTACGCTCCAGTGCATAGTCTTCTCCATTGAAAAGCGTGGAGCCACCATACGCCCCCGCCCCACCGTCCGCCACACACGCAGAAACCCGGAAAATGGGCAAGAAGTCTTTGGCCGAGCAGATCGCGGAGCTCAGTGCGCCCAAAAACGACTTCGACATTGAAAACTCGGAGTTGGCAGACCCTTTTGGAGGCAGTGACCAGGACGCGAACGATTCCCTGGGCCTGGACCACGAGACCGCCCAGAGGGAACACTATGTGGCTATGCCCAAGTCGAAGCTTAGACGCGAAAACCCCTTGGCCAAGGACCGCAAATACACGGGCCGGCTCACCGACCGGAAGGCGCTATATGAGGACAGCGAAACAGGCACTTCAGGCTCTGAATCGGCGGGCGAGCTGGGTCTGGAAAGCGGCGAGGATGCACAGGATTTGGAGACGGGGCCGGAGAGTGAGGCTGGGTCCGACAGCCCAGAAAGTGGCTCCGAAAGCGGCTCCGAAAGCGGCTCCGAAAGCGGCCCAGAAAGCGGCCCGGACGAGGCGCAGCGCAGCAGGCAGAAAGACAAAATCCGGCGGATGATGGCCTCGGAACGCAAGCACATCGTCAGCAGGCTCTCGCAGTCCGCGGCGTCGGACGCGCTCAAAGGATACTCCATTCTCCAGCAGCACAAGGAGTTCGATGCGCTCATCGACTCGCGCTTGAAGGTGCAGAAGGCCGTGGCCTCGGCCAACATGCTTCCTGCAAGCAAGCTGCAGCTCGCCGGGCTTGCAGACGCGCCGGCCGACGTCCAGGCCCGCCTAGGCGGCGCCGTGGACGCGTGCTACGACTTGTTGGACACGATCGGCGCGTTGCGCAGCGCCCTCCTCCGCCGCGAGCAGCTCGCTGTGCCGGACGGCGCCGAGAAAACGCCGAGAAAACGCAGCTTGGCGCAGTACGTGGCCCGCAGCTCGCAGCAGGACGCGGTGTTGGCGCAGTACCGCTCGTCCGTGTTGACCAAGTGGCTGGCCAAGATCCAGAACTCGTCGGGGTCCAGCGCCATGAACGCCAACAAGTTCAAGGCGCTCAACCAGTCGGCCGAGCAGCAGGTGCTCAACAACCTCCAGGACATGGAGCGGCTTGTCAAGAGAACCCGGCTCAACAGGCGCAAGATCTCGCCGTTGGGGCACGTCCCGGAAGACGCCGGGAACAGCGGTGCCGGTGGCGCTTCACACGATGACCCGGACGCCTTGCCGCACACGCAGACGCGGGCGATGAACATGCCAGAGATGCCGCAGATCTTCGACGACGACGACTTCTACCGCGTGTTGCTCAACGACTTGGTGGACAAGAAGATCCAGTCGAGCGACCCCACGTCGGGCCTCCAGTTTGCGTTGCGTGGCGCGGCGTCGACGAAGTTGAAGAAGAACGTGGACAACAAGGCGTCCAAGGGCCGCAAGTTGCGGTTCCATGTCCAGGAGCCCATCGCCAACTTCGACACGCCCCGCCAGTGGTTGCAGTGGAACGACGATCAGATCGACGAGTTTTTCGCGTCGCTCTTGGGCCAGAAAATCAGCATGAAGGAGGACGACGACGACAGCGCGGGCGACGACGACGCAGACGAGCAGCTTGTGGGCGCTGACTCGATCCAGCTCTTTGGCTAGATCTTTTTGGCGGCGGCTTGGTCCAGCTTTTGGCGACGGCTTGGTCCAGATTTTGGGCTGGAGCTTGTGGGCTGGGTGGCTGGAATAGATGGCGCGTCACCATGCTGGGTTCGGGGTCAGCTGGTGTGCGAGGCCTGATGCCGACGGCCTGATATCAAACGGGCATGAGACGATACGCGTGTGTCCCAGCGAGTCTGTTGCCACTTACTTTACAAGGTTTGGAGCAAGGTTGTCTTCGAGGTTTGCTTTTAGAAGTGCTTTGTCGAGGACGATCGATATAAATATGCCTGTTAAATACAAGGGCCGGTAAATGCAAGGTCTGCTGTACCCGAGGTCTGCTATTAAAAGTGTTTTGTTGAGAAAGATCGTTGTGGATAATGTCTGTTAAAACAAAGTTTGTGAAATACAAGGTCTGCTGTACTTGGGGTCTGTTAAATGCAAGATCTGTGGTATCCTAGGACTGTTAAATCTAGGTCTGTTCAACACAACTTCTGTTTGATACCAGGTCTGCTAAAGACAAGATATGTTAATTACAAGATATGTTAAATATAAGACACGGTAATTTCACGGTCTGTTTAATACAAAGTCTGATCAATGCAAGGTCTGATCAATGCAAGGTCTGCTCAATGCAAGGTCTGTTACATACGAGGGCTGTTGAATACAAGGTCTGCTGTATCCAAGGCTTGCTAATAAAAAGGTGTATTGTTGAGAAAGACCGTTCTAGACAAGGTCTTATAAACTCAAGTCTGTTAAATACAAGATCTGCTGTATTTGAGGGATGCTAAATACAATGTCTGTTCAATAAAAGGTCTGTTTAATACGAGGTCCGCTCATTACAAGACAAGATTTGCTAGTTACAAGTTATGTTTCATACAAGATATGTTTAGTACTAGGTCTGTTCAATAAAATGTCTTTTAGATAAATTGTCTGTTCAATAAAATGTCTGTTCAATAAAATGTCTGTTCAATAAATGCCTGTAAAAAATACCTGTTAAAAAAAGTCTGTTAATACAAGGTATGCGATCTACAAAATATGTTATTTACGATGCTAGTTATTAGAGTCAATCTTTGAAAAATCACAAGGCCTTTCAAACACAAAGTCTGCTACAAGGTCTGTGACTACAGGATTTGTAACAAGTTCTGTTCTCGAAAGGTCCGTCAAATGCAAGGTCAATTTCCCGAAAGTCGGTTGTACACAAGACCTCTTAAATACAAAAACTGCCACCAGCAGGATCTGTACTATCAGGACCTGTTCTATACAAAGCCTGCTAGATACAAGTTCTCGAAAGTCTAACCTCCCTAAATTCCAATGCAGCTTTGGCCGTAGAGATAGTCTCTGTCGATAAAAATCTGGGATTCTGGGGTTCTGAGGACTCGGGCACAAACGTCACAGACCGGCCACTTTGCTCCACATTCCGCAATCGCCAAAGACAAGAAACGAACATCTGACTCGCCACGGGAGTTTCCAGAATCTGCTCAATGCAAAGAAACATGTGAAAGCCCCCGGCGTCATGGCATAAATATAAAGCACTTAAGCCCACCGAAACAAACAGAGCAGAAATCCGACCGAAAGAAAAGAATTGCCCCAAACACAGTGGGTCCTTTTGGCCTGCTGTGGATCTGTCCCTACTCTCGTCTTTCTGTTTTCACCGCACATCCAACTCCAGACTAGCGGCTTCTCCTACACCACATTCGTATTCCGTCATACATTATATATACAAGTAATTTGTCCCAAATCACAACTTTCTGTCTAGTCTGTTCAACTTCTTGGCCGTTCTGGCATTGTTCCTCGTGCCTTGGCCACGCACAGGCAAGGAGTTGGCATGTCTGATTCCGGCATACGAGTTGATGGATCTCTTCAAGGCAATGTCATCCAAGATCTTCTGCTTCAACTGGGTTTCGATAGTCATTTCAGAAAGCTCCTTGTTGATAGCCATGATCTGAGGCTCGCTGAGCTGGTTCATTCTCATCTGTGGGTAAATGCCTACCTTGGCACAGATCTCTTGTGCGGTACGGTAGCCCACGCCGAAGATCCGCTTCGCCAAGCCTATTCTGACTAGCGCGTTGTGTTTAATGGCCTTACCGTATACGTGAACACCCATGGCTGGAAGATAGTGGGGCTTTCTACAAGCTTTGGCCCTCTTGGTCTTTTTTTCGGTTACTTTTCGCAAGCCCACCGCAGACTGCATGCACTCCGTGCGTGAATACGGTGGAGCGTGCTTTGAGACGTTTTTAATACATGGAGATAATTTCCACGAGATGTCTACGATAAGCTTGTTCACATTCGTATGTTAGCCACACGTGTTGCTGGCTTTGCAGGCATGTTGCTTATATGAATAGTTGTGGTGCATGTTTCTACGAATGGACCATCTAGAAATGCGACAACACCTTGCGTCTCAAAGCATTGTCAAAACGCACCAAAGAAAGTACGAGTTCCGTGTGGACGTATACCTTTAATAGGAAGAACGAGCTTCGCACACTCTCGACCAATACTGGGAAGTTCTGTGATTATGCTTGAACCCCAGAAACAAAGGACATCAAAGGGCCACCACGAAACCTTCAATCTTGTATATAAATGCTGCACTTACAGTCTTTGGTTTCCGTTCAGCCACGTGGAATCAAGGTTGAGCATCTTTTCTCAGTTGTAAAAAAGTTTGAAGCTTCTTGAGATCGGCCAAATCAAGATACGGAGAACATGTTCGAGTGGTAAGGACTAAAACGAGCACAAACAAAAAAAAGATTGCAGCACCACAATTTCGCATATGGTCTCCCACTACACTACTCAGTGTGGCCCTATACAGCTTAACTAACGTTGATCGGACGGGAAACAGTGCTTCCTGCATGGTATGGCCGCAACCGAAAGATTGGATGTTGAGTAAAATATATAGAGTCACATAACAACTTGAATTTGCAAATAACGTGAGCACTGATGAATATATAAAGGTCCAAATCTAGACTGAAACCATTGATAGCTAGTAGTGGGAAGCTACTCAAACCACGATTTCGGAAAAGCCCTGAGCCGAAATGGTGATTTATTATAGGTTTTTACTTTCTAATCTTCCGTTAGGTGGGGTCTTACATCCCTCCAGTGACCCTATAGTTTGATGTATCATTTTGAAAAAAAGAAAAAAAAAACAGAAAGACAGATAAAACCCGGTGGACTTTCAAAAGTATTTACGAGGCAAACTAATTAATACACAAGATAGACTAGATTGTTACCCGTCACACAGTCTACTTTAGAGAAACCGAACAAGAAGAAACATAGACAACACACTCTATCGAACAATTACCTCGCACTGCAAAAACAAATTATGCACAAAAAGTTTCTCACAGCTGCTTCCTTCATGACTGCTTCAATGTGTTGGCTTCCTGCGAATTCCAACATTCATCTAGCGGACTCAATTCGATCAGACGATGTCCGTCCAGGCCGAGGGGTCAGAACAAGAATTCGTCATTCTAGTTCCAAACAACAATATAATGTCGTCGCAGTCCATAATGACGCTATTCTTGAACACACTATTCATTCTTCTGGAGAAGTCTACACTGTAAAAAGGGCTCGAAAGGGAGAAACAGGATAAATTTAAATTCGATTGAGGACACAATACATTCTATAAAATAATTGAAAAAAGCAGTCGAAATATTCCCAAACCTTATCACAGTTCATTAGCTCAATTACTATTTACTGTCAACCCGGGTGCAAGTACACAACATTAGTTAGCGCACAGCCTTTTGTGCATTTGATCTATAAATATCCATTAACCAATCTTATTCAATTGGGCGGACACTATAATGTAAGCCCTCGCTAGAAAGTTCTTGGTGGTCAACCCCAACTTTTTTAAAACTCCCGAAGTGAGTAATACTGTGGCTCGAGGTTTTATTCGGGGTGCGGTACGTCACCTTTCAATTCAACCCCGATCAAAAAAGAATCGCCAGCAGGAAAGCTTTCACATTGACAAGTAAGAACGCACCGCTCGTGGTTTGCCTGAGTGTTCTTGAGACGCAGCGCACTAGTAAACTATGGAATATTTTACTGATTGGTTTGCGGGAAGATACGACGTTTCTTATACCAAAAGAACATGTCCAGTGTATGATAAACTTGTGGACATCTTAAATAATTAGAAATAATGGGATATTACCACAATCTTCAAGGATCTTTGGGCACTCGATGAGATTCAACCGGAAATGGTCTCAGAAGACGAGTTAATGGCGAGATTTCTCAACCATATCATGAACCCAAACTCGCAAATCTAATTGGGTATATATCTCTTTGAACGAGGATTGAACAAGCTGCCAAGCCTTAATTGTCAATTCCAGACGTGCTCAGCTAGACAACCCGCATAAAACCGAGTCTTGGATCAACAATCAATCACGAGGGTAAAAACTTAAAAAATATGAACTTACTTTCTTTCAAGCAAACACTACGCAATCGGGAACTTGGAAAAGCTGGAAGCGATGCTGGAAAATATTCGGAGAAACATGAAATCACTATGATAAACCAAAGCTCAAACGGCCAAATATTTGTTCAGTAAACATAAATTACACAACAAGCTTCGCTCATGCCACTAACATCATCACAGCCAGTTCAGTCGAGCCTGATTCCTTTCATTTAATTAGAAACATCTGCGTGTCTGGGTCAACCAAACAATGATTTTTAGTGAAAATAGAAGAAACCTAAAGTGACTTCGTTTAAGGGATTCAAGCGAGGTCAACCAAGAGAGGTGTGAGTATAAAGGGTCATGAAGATTGCCCACAGTTGGGGTTAGGATCAAGATCCAGAATACCACTGATAGACCAGGCCTACTCAATAAGGTAAACTAGCCATACATCTGTCTACTTGTAGCCAAAAGACATCCAGTAGCTTGTTTCATAACAAAGTTAAAAGTACAAGATGGGTGGGATTCTAACAAAAAAAAATCTCATGGAGCTACACACACATGTCAAGTCAATTTCTTTGAAGACTTGGTCTTTTTTTCATGAAGTCCACAACTGCCTGAATTAGCTTATCTGGAAAATAGCAACCTGACCCTTCTCTGTGGCTTATGTTTCCTCTTATATCCGGCTATTTACTTGACTATACGTTGTTACGCCACTGAGGGAGGAGCCCCACAATTTTTACTTCCATGAAAGAAATGATGTGTTTATTGCTATGTCATTCTTTCTGATTATTGGTATTATATAGGTGTATAGAATTCAGACTATTCAGCCAGCTGAGTCTAAAACAATATTATATGTAAGGATAAGTGGTTACTTTCACGCCCATGAAGGCAATATTATCTCCAACGGGTACTTTTTCGACGTTTTTGAAAAACCCCTGGAGATAAACTCTCGATTACACGTTGTTCATGGAGCAGCACTAACAGATAATGTTGTCAAGAAGTCTCAAGACAAATACTTCGTGTTAGAAAAAGCAGAAGCCATTTAATGAATCCACGTCAGTGAGGGTTTTGTTGTGCATCAAGTTGTTTAACGAGCTACAAGGTATGTACGAGCCAACACAAATAAAAGAGTTAAGTTTGTATACTCGAGATGTGTCATTCTGAGGCACCCGGAATTTGGTCGCGCAGATGGCTTTTAACATTCGAAAACTTCATAAGGCGATAGACTTTACCAATTTCTAGAACATATGCTGAGAGCATCTTTTTTTTTATCACAAGGTCAGCCGAGAGGACCTGAAGGTATCATTTTTCGATTTGACAAAAAGCATTCTCTCCCTGCCGGAATTACTTTTCGTGGCTCATCAACAAATTTGTGCTTGATATCCTAATTCCGACCTCTTTATGATAATTTCATGTACAAACGTCATCATCTGATGACATTCTGTGGATAAAAGTGCCCTTCTTGATATAACCCCTACTTATAAATGGTAAACAGCATCATGGTCACCAATGAGGTATATTACACATCGTTTAAACGTCGTTAAAATCGATATTTGTTGCAAAATTTTGGTTTCCGACATACTAACATTCGGTTTTTTTTTTGAACAATACTTCTAATAATTAACCCGAGAAAGCACATACTGATTATAGCGTTTTTGAGACTTGCATGGTCAATTTGAACATTCAAATGTCTCTTTTTGACATCGTTACTATGGAACTTGAGACTCATGGCAATGAGCTCCTGACCTAAATTGATAGCAAGATGACCACGTCTATGTTTATATTCAAGTTCGGATGCAAGATACAATGATTGCTTTCAGCGAGTCATATGACACACGCTCAGAAGAGATATCATTGTTGCTTTTTTAATTTCCAAGCCTGAGAAAGTCAAGAAAATAAAGTCATGCCATTGTTATGAATTTGTTGTCTTTCCTGAAAGACACGAACAAGATTTAACAGTTGATTATAGAGTTTTTCATAGCTTTTCAGTGTGGTTTCCTCTATCTCTTCACTATGAATCTGCTTCAGATCTGATTTGGGTCGATGTAAGTTTCATGCGGAAGCAACTCTCCAAGACAATCAGAGATACAATCACAGACTTAGCTCAGAACCATTTGTTTTCCAATTCGCATTCTTGGGGAGTCCACATTGCCAATATGAAACAGAAATACGAGTCCGATCAAACAAACGAAATCTCTATCGACTGTGATCACATCATGCTAAGGAACTCGATTCAAGGAAAGCCTCAAGCATTTTGGTGATCTATATCCAATCTCAATATGAGCAAGGATCGCAACAAACCGATCATAGTGATGAAACTGGCCATTCCCACAGGAACCACGGCAAAAACCACTATGTTATAGAAATCGAAGAACCGCGGCCTATACTTTCCCTTGAGATCGACATTCGAAGTCACAAAATTTTGTCCAATGTAAAGAAGTGTGAGAGCACAACTGATGAGAATCCATGTATGAAGCGCATAGTTATACCCCTCGGCCGAAAATGCAGCTACCAAGTATTGCTCGATTGCAACAAGGATAGCAGACATCGTGGCCATGCGCACAATTGACCCGGTGGTTGTGTAGGTGACAATCCAGCGCACCATGAGACCATCAAGAACAGAGTACAGAAGGTAGCCAGCTACCAAGCACCACATTCCAGTGAGGAAATGCTCCGACGTGCGTGCGGCAGTGATGCCAGAAGTGGCGGTTTGCTCGAGCTCGACGCTCTTCAAAAACAGCCACCACGACTGAAATAATCCCAAAACACACGGTATTAGGGAAAAGTCTCGGCATGCAGCGAGCAAAAGATGCTGGCGTGCATTGAGGAACTTGAGGCCCAATGTTTTCAACGACCGTTTCTCGTCACGTGCAGGGCTCGTCGTGGCGTCTCTCACTCTTTCGCTGGGAACATCTACAGTACTTCTACTCCGGACATTGGTGGTGGTCATCACAGCCGGCATTTCCGAGGGTAGCGGGCGGCCTCGCTGGGACTGTGCCTCGCGAGGCACATGCACCCCACTCAAGCCATGCAGCAGTCTCGGGCCATGTCGGAGCGCTCGACGGGAGTGCTGTTCCTGGGAAGACTCGTATGAAGGAATTCTTTCGCCGGGATCATAAAAGTCGTGCTGCACGGGCATGATCACAGACCGGGAATGGTCAGCAGATCCATGGCGGCTTCTGTGAGCAGGCCCTCGAAATGTGGCCAGATTTCCGTCTCGGTTTGATCGGCTGATGCTGTACTCTTCATCGATTCTGTGCACGGGTAGCTCGTCCAGTGGCAGAGATCCACGGAACAACGGATTCATGGAAAATCCCCGGTGCAATCTGTGAAGAAAAGAGTGGTACAAACGGTCCAGCTTCGGCTCATGAACAGAAGAGCAGGGGGCAGTTGATGGCTGCAAATAAATGTCCGATGAACGCCCGGTGAAAAGAAAGTGGGACCCCAGTGCTTTTCTTTTGCGATGCTAGTCGGAACTGAGGCGTCTGAAGAGACACGCATGGGTTGTATGCGCGAGGTCTAGGTATGTTTCAGCCGAGATGCCGCGGGCTGCGTGCAGCGAATTTCGCCCAATTGGGGTGAGGGGGTTGCCAATCTTCTGCATTAATTTCCCGATGTTGTAAGCGAACAAGCAAGGTTGCGCATCTTGCTTGGAGGGCTGTTGTCGGTTTTATGTGGGCTTTTTCGTTTTGGAATATTGCTCGCATAAAAATGCCAGTTTTATTCGAGTCCCAAGAAGCTATAAAGGTTTTCTCCAATCGAAGCAGTTTCCGCCCACAGTCTTGAACGACACCACACTTGCGGGTCTTTCTTGTTCGACTTCTTCTTCTTCAAGAAGATGCACATTTCAGATCTTTGCTCAGCTTTTTTCTCGACAATTTGTGCATTTGGGATAAATAACCAAACTAGGAAGGACTCTGTTTTCTACGCAACAATCATGGCTCGGGTACAGGTGGAGTAGTGTCTCCAATTAAGCTTGTGAAGGCTGCGGGGGATTTGAAAGTAAATAACTTTCTACATCATCCGAATCCGTTTACAAATTTATCTCCAAAAAGACCCAATTTTTTTCCATCAGCAGAAGGTGGAGCTGAATTTTTGGGGGTCACGAAGCACCTAATGGAATGTTGACGGAATTCTGTCACAGTCCAAACGATGGTCGGCATAGACAACTCACGTAATAAAGGTCGAAGTGACCATGGTGTAATTTAAAGGAGAGAGAATACTGTCCTTATCTATATGAACCATAGATTGGATATTCAGAAAAACATGTTGTTTCTTGGAGTCTTGTAGAAGCCATACTTCAACTCTTACTTTTGCTTCTAGTATCGACAACAGCTTCTGTCTGCCTTTCAGTCTCGTCAGGTCCACCTGGTCTGCACGCTCTGCATGGTTCCTGGTAATAAAAACAGATCCATGAACAGCCATCATCTTTCTCACATATGTGACTCCTTGGCTTTTTTGTCATAACCCGGCAGCTCAATATGAAGCTCCCAAAAATTGACAACTGTGCAGATGCAAAACCGGGCACTGACTCAAACTGTCGATTCGCTTCGTGATTCGTGCCTGCTCATACCCATGGATAATTTTGGGATAGCACTGGGAGCCTTATACTACATTTGCTTACGATAAGGCCCACGCAATAATAAATACAAGCTCCATCTGAATCAGCGGCCGAGTAAAACCTCAGCGACGAATGAAGGGCTGACCGGGAGAAATCGAGTAGGAATCGGAGATCATATACAGGGGACCAAGTCTCCAATGTCGTCCAGCGAACACGATAGCCGCGGTCCTATGAGCCTCGTCTCAATCAGGCAGGTGCCCGACCGCGATAGGACAAGGAAGTCGTCTACAGGCCTGGCCCGCAGACCACAGCCACGGATATATAATAGGTATCAATTAGACGCCACGGGCGGCGCGGTATACAGGAAAGCACGGTCGTCTAGATGGCCTCCAACTGCTGGCTGATCTCGTCCAACTCGGCCTTGGCGGCGGCGTACTTCTCGTCCAACTCCTCGAACTTCTTCTCCCACTCGTCCTTCTCGGACTCCAAAGAGGCCACCTTGCGCTCCAACTGCTCGGCCTTGATGTCGGTCTCGCGCAACTTGGCGGTGGTCTCCTTCAAGTTCTTGTCGGCCTCCTCCAACTCGTCCTCAAGCACCTGGTTCTTCTTGGTGTAGTTGTCGTTGGACGTTCTCAAGGAGTGGGACTGGTCCGCGGTCTCCTTGATTTCGGTGACGTCGCTCTCCAACTTCTCGACCTGGTCCTCGAGCACCTGGTTTTTCCTGGTCAACGCCTGGATCTGGTGGTCCTTTTCCAAGTTCTCCTGCTCCAACTCCTTGATCTTGTCGGCCAACTCGTCCGACTTTTCCTGCCATTTCTCGGCGTCCAACTTCAAACTGTTGATTTTCTGGCGGTTAGTATGAGCGGGTGGTGGTGGCGGCGTGTCGGGGGTGGGGGGCACATTCTGTGTTGACACACTAGCCGCCGGATCAAACAAAACACGTATGCAACACAGGAAAAAAAGACACGAAACGAGCCGGGAAATTGGGCCCGCTCAGCGGCTGGTCCCAATTCGTTCGGTGCCGTGGGCGCCCGCACGTGACCGTACATACATCCTTGAGCTTGTCCATTTTTGTGTTTGCTAAGAAAAAGTGGTACCGAGGAAAGAAGGGGCTCAGTTGGCGGAGGCAGGTTTTCTACTTTTTCGCCCGGCGCCCCTCGCGTAAACACGGGTCACGTGCGGCGCAGGCGATTCGCTACCAGACCAGAATTCTGCAGGCGACTTTGCAAGTATAGGAGGGAACCCACGAAAGGGGCCCGCCAAAAAAGCGGGGTGATATTTGAAACCATGCTGCTGAAGTGAGGGGCGGTCTGGCTATAGTTGTGGATTTGCAGGTGGGGAAATTTTGCGGACGGAAGACAGCCTAGTAGTGTAGATATTCATGCTGCAGGCACTGGGCGCAGGATCCGGGGACCAAGAGCCTTTCCTTCATTTCGTGTGTTTTATGTGATATATGTGTTTTGTGCAATATATGTGTTTTGTGCAATATATCTGTTTTGTGCAATATATGTGTTTTGTGGATTATTTCTGTTTTGTGCATTATATGTGTTTCGTGTGTTTGGGATGTGACTTTCAGCTAATAGGTTTTTATTTTGTTAGACTTCTGTGTTTTGTTTTAATTGACACTCTTGCTCATACTCTGCTCAAACTTACTCTTGGTAATACCCATGCCTCTTTTTTTATTAGCTATCTTACTCGTGCTCTTGCCAAATCTCTTACAACTCTCTAATTCACATCTAAAAATTTTCCCACCTGATCCCATGCTCATTTTTTACCTAATACTTGACCCATTCCTGGACCCTTCTTTCTGTTATCAATTCTCATTCCTTTACGTAGTCTTTCGTCACTTTCCCTTTTCGGACCATACTCATTTTCATGTCCAATAATACTCTCATTCATTTTCCTCTTGATTCACTCGATTCCGTTTTTTATTGGGGCGGCGATAAGCATCTTGAGCATGTGGCACACAACGGGGTCATTTGCTCTACCTTTGGCCACTTTACCAGCTTTAGAAAAAGGAGGGTTTTGCATTCTAGCCTCTCTTTGGGGCAGACTGGATTTCCCTGGATTTCTGCAGATAGCCCGGGGCTATACGATCACGCATCAGCAGTGTTTCTGAGGCTTCTCTGGGTTGGGCCTGCCAAACAAAAATAGCCATATCTTCAGATTCGCGTGCTGGCTCGTGCCGTTGATTTTTGGCTCGTGCCTTCGAGTCCTCTTTCGATAAAGGGCGTCCGGACACTGGAAAACAGACCCCTGTCGGAATGCCGTGTCACGTGACCATGCCGATGTCCGCTTGTCAAAGTGTCCCATTCCGAACCAAGCCCACGCTGCGCCAAACGGTGCTAGCGGTATTCTCGCCCAAAGTAGCGGGCTTGATCTTGGCACAATAGACTCCTCTACCAGACAGACCAACCCCAGTGTGTTTTTGGTTCGCGCACGCCCCCGCTCTATCAAAGCTCACTTGCCTGCCCAGGACTCTGTTAGGCCACACGATGTCCGACATAAAAACTGATCCCACCAAGTTCCTTGGCTCGATTATCGGCAGTACCGTGGTGGTCAAGCTCCATAACGGCGTCGAATATCAAGGCGACTTGCAGAGTATCGATGGATACATGAACGTGGTTTTACAGTCTGCCAAAGAAATCGTGGAAGAGAGCCAGACGAAATCTTACGGGGACGTTTTCATCAGAGGCAACAACGGTATGTATCAGGTCCCAGTACTCTGATTCGGGGCTTTGCCCGGATTCCCTGTATTTTCTTCCTTCTTTTACTAACGTCTAGTGTTGTATATTAGTGAGTGCTAGCTCAAGCGTATAGGAACAAGAATAAACGAAGAACACAACACAACCATAGCTGACGCCTGGGACAAGCACAGTAACACAAGACGCTCTAGCTCAATATAAGACGCTCCAGCTCCACAACGACCCAAATCCAAAGGCCTACGGAGAAAGCCGGGCCCGGTCACGTGACGTGTCACGTGACACGGCTCTTCCGGCGCTTTGCGGGCCTACAGCCGCCCCGCCAGCGAAGGCCGCCGCCAGATCCCATTCACAGCCGTCGGTCGTGTTGCCGGCTGCACTTTTGAAGTCCTAGGGACCCGGCTCCACTGACTGTAGGAGAGAATGGAGGGCACGTGACCTGCACGCGGGCCCAGCGAATGAGAGCCCGTTTCGCGCAAGTTCGAAAAAAGCCCGAGCACCGAAATCTCAAACTTTTGCCCACCCAGCTAACAGCACCTACAAACTAGATCCATATCAGAACAATGTTTGCTGCCAGAAGACAATTGTCCACCTTGATCCCCCCAAAGATCGCTTCGGCCAAGGTATGTACCGATTTCTGTTTTCACTTCCCTGTATCCTGAGCTTTCGATGAGCCCTGGCGCATGGGTTTTCGGGGCTCTCTTTTATATTGTCTGAACGGCCCAGTATTTCGTCGGACATGTCTTTTCCTTCTTTGGCGGAGAGTTTTTTTTTCTTGCGGTCAGGAAGGTCTGGTCTCCTTTCTTTATTTTCGGAGAAAACCATCCAAGAAGTGTTCTCCATCTTTGTTTTTGGGCCTCCTTAATTTTAGAGCAGTTCCGGTTCGTTGTTCTGGGGCTTCTTGATTCTAAAGCTTTGTCGTTCGTGATGACTGCCTTATATAGACAGCGCCGACTCTCGTATATCGACATCCGACGTGTCCACTCCCGCTTGGACATCCGTTGAGAATTTCGACCATCAGTCTCGGGTGTTCCAGAAACGCCCGGATTAGCAAACCCAGAATGAGAACCGGTGACAAGGACAATAAACACAAGACTTTCGGCTGCCCCGATCCAGCCTCGATTCTTCTGGGCCTTCTGAAACACTGCCAGAGAAACGTGGTGCCAGCCGATATTCTGCTCAAAGTCCCTAATTAATGAAAAAGAGTACGACCGCTGTGCTCCCCCCGTTCCCACAGAGCCCTGTTTTGTAGTGGTGATGCGGAATATGAAAGCTCAAGATGCCCGTGGGCGTATACTAACAAATGCAGAACATTGGCTCCAACCCCAACGCCAAGAGAATGGCCGAGGTTGTGTCTTTCTACAAGAAGTTGCCAACTGGCCCAGCCCCTGCTGCCAAGAAAAGCTTCACCCCATGGGGCAAGTACAAGGCTGCCTTCATTGATGGCGACAACGCCTCTGGTAAGCCATTGCTCCACCTTGCTTTCCTCGTCATTGTGGTTGGCTACACCTGGGAGTACCAGGCTCACTTGAAGCACCACAAGGACCACTAAACGTGGCGCCGGTGCTCCACTTATATACTGATTACGAAAATATATAAATCATTCCATGAGACGGCTGTATGGCTAAGCTCGAGCAAGATGGCGCAGGCTCTAGTAGGCGTAAAGATACTGCGGCCCTCGTGGGGCAACGGGTTGATTCCTGGATTGATGGCTCTGTATAGTAACTCAAAGTCTGTCTTTGGGAGTAGGTCCTGTATGGGTGGCTTGACGACAGCTGCTTCTCGGCTGGGGCTTGCCCTTTCAATTAATCCAATCCTCGTCTGATGTCGAGGCTGGCGTTAATACGTAGAGGCTTTCTGAGAGGAGACCGAAGGCCGCCTAGTTCAATTAATGGCTGCGTTGCTCTGATTTTTCCGGCTGCAGTTCGTATGTTCAGAATGGCTAGACTGGACGTACAACGTGAGTCTGGACTTGAACATGAAAAGAGCCAAAAACTGACATGCACGTGATGCCGGAAATTCAGGAAAGCAGCAATTTCTGGATTGCTTGGGTGTACGTTGCTAAAACATCTGCTTGATGATTTTTATGGATGTCTGGAGTACCACATGTCCAGCAATGTTGCAAGTAGGTAGATTCTCGTATAGGGCCAGTAGTGGAAGTGTTGAGTGAGAAAATCTAGATCAGAACAGGGTATGTATTTGTCTCCGGGACATTGTAATACACGTGTGATTAAGAGTGACTTTAAGTAAAAGCAAGGCCAGCCTTCGGTTTTGAGCCTTTGTTCATAAATGTGCTAATTGGCGTGCCTTGAAGTAGGAACAAGTTTCTATCTTCGGGCCTTTGTTCATACACTGTTAATTAGAAGCAGCTCAACGTAGGAGCAAGGTCACCTTTCTTCTTTGAGCCTTTGTTCATACATGGTTAAATAAGGATTCCACTCAAATGTCTGCTATGTATTGGCGCTTTTTATCAAGCATGTGTGGACATACGAACAGACTGCAATTTGCGTCTTGGGGGACATATCACATCGAACATGCCATGGGCACTGCGGCCATAAAAGACAGTGGTAAATGCCACAATATCAGAGTCCGAATGATATTGTCTTCAAGTTATCAACAAAGAAGACGGCCGTTTTATTTTGCGGCAAACTGCGCTCTTTAGAATTATGAGCCTATAGCCGAGCCCGAGTGCCACTGTTCTGGCCCCACAGATACAGGTGTCTACGTACTGAAACTTGCTCCTGTGAATATATAAAGTACTCTATAAGCACGGGTATTCTTCAAACACCTGTCCGACAGTTCCGGCAATAGAATGTGCAAGAACATTTTTGCGAGATAACGCTTGGGTTTCCCAATAATGCGAAAAGTCGGCCAGGCAACTGCGAAAAGTCAGTCCCTCCAATTTGTCTTATCATACTCGCCATTTACAGAAATACAAAAGGCATGCAAAAATCCCCAACTTCGCCAGATGCACCCTGGCTTCTTTTTCCTGGTTTGAAAGCAGAGCCAGATCCAACCTCACCAAAAATGACTCGCTCATCTTCTTCCTGGTATAAGCCTCACCATGTCTCTCAGTCATGCTGCCTCAGCCTTGCACGAGATACCAGTGGCCGGGTCGTGCCGTGCACAATACACACCCCAGCCGCACCAACGCAATTCCCACCCCCACTCAAAAATACCAATTGGCCCCACCAAGTCAAAACAGCACATCGCCAGATCAGCGGCGCCCTCCAGAAATCCCGGCGTGTGCCCACCAAGTCCTATATCCTTATTCCGATCTGTCTTTGTGAGGTTTGTGACCACCCTTACTTTTATAGACTATCCGCGGTTGCTGCGTTTTGCGTGTGCACCCCGAAATCTGGGCACGTTTCTACTATCCGGCCCCCACCGAGAATATCGAGCGTTAGCTTCTGCGTGCCTTCATAGCAGAATCGACCAAAAAAAAACGAACCCGCCGAGGAATCTTCGTTTTTTCACCCCCCTGTTTTTTCTGCCGCAACCGCTGGACTTCCGGCCGGCCCCTGACTTCTGCCCTCGGATCTTGCTCCTTTTTTTCGATTGCGTGGCAGTCGCTCACCAGCACTCGAATCTCACCCCGGTTCTGCCTTTCTTCACCCCACGTGCCGTGCTCCCAACTGGAACTGGATCTGTTACACGAAGAGCCTCAAGGATATCAATACGAGGAGATTCTGAGTCATTTAAAAGGAGATATCAAGTACACCACGACGGCCCAGCTCAGTTCCAAGACGACGAGTGCCAGATACGAGAGGTCCAATACAACAAGTTGCAACACCACAAGTTCATTACGACGACTTCCAAAAAGAAAGTCTTTCATTAGACGACGTTAGATAAGAACGAGCTTAACCCAACGACGTTACACCAGAAAGTGTTTAATACGACGACGTTAAATCAGAACGTGTTTAATACGACGCTTTCCAAACACCACAAGTCGCTCCGCATTACGTGTTTGTTCCTGTCTCGAGCACCAGCAACAGTCTCTTCACGAGCTAAAGCCAGCTAGCATTGAATTTGCCCCGTATCGCAGTGCACCGAGCCCCATATAGATCGCCCGAAAGATGGCAGGAAGCGCCCAGAACCCCCACGCGCCACTGGGCCAGCCCCAAAACCAAGACCGGCACTTGTTGCCGCTGCAGGCCATCGGCCAGCCCACAAACAAACAAATGCCACTGTCTGCTAACCACGGCTCGCTGAAGCACGGAGCGCCCGCAGACCCAAAGGCCCAGCAACAGCAACAGTTCTATCGCCGGCTGATTGGCGACTGGGATTTCATCCGCACCATTGGTGCCGGCTCCATGGGTAAGGTCAAGTTGGCCAAGCACAATACCACTGGCGAGAAATGCGCCGTGAAAATCGTACCCCGAGCAGCCAAGTTGTACCAGCGCGCCCACGCAAACGATCCGCCGCTCAAGTCGCAAGAGGAGGCCAACCAGCGGCAGAAGGAGTACGAGAAGGAACTTGCCCGCGACAAGCGCACCATCCGCGAGGGCGCCTTGGGCCGCTTGCTTTTTCACCCGCACATCTGCCGGCTCTATGAGATGGTGCCCATGACAAACCACTACTACATGCTCTTCGAGTACGTCGAGGGCGGCCAGTTGCTTGACTACATCGTGTCGCATGGCTCGTTGAACGAGAAGTATGCCCGCAAGTTTGCCCGCGGCATCGCCTCGGCGCTCGACTACTGCCACAAGAACAACGTCGTGCACCGTGATCTCAAGATCGAAAATATCATGATCAACAAGGACGGCGAGATCAAGATTATCGACTTTGGCTTGTCCAACTTATACACGCCGCACCACTTACTTAAGACATACTGCGGCTCGTTGTATTTTGCAGCCCCTGAGCTCTTATGCGCCAAGCCCTACACTGGACCCGAAGTCGACGTGTGGTCATTTGGCGTGGTGTTGTATGTGCTTGTTTGCGGCAAAGTTCCCTTTGACGATCCTGTAGTGTCGGCATTGCACGAGAAAATCAAGAAGGGAAATGTGGAATATCCTTCTTTTATCTCGAGAGAATGTGTTTCTTTGCTTTCTAGAATGCTTGTGGTGAACCCTGCCAAGAGAGCGACACTAGAGGAGGTCATCCAACACCCGTGGATGAACAAAGGCTTTGAAATTCCTGTGCCCAGCTACGCTCCAAAACGTCTTCCTTTGACCTTACCTTTGGATCCACAAATTGTGCAAACCATTTCGTCGCTTGATCTTGGCTCTGTTTCTGCCATTACTGAAGAGCTTACCACAATAATAAGCAGTCCCGAATATCGATTGAGTTCGGATAACTGGTTCATAAACTCGGGAAATGGCCAGGTACCACGCAACACGGTATCCGACCCCGTATATGCTTATCATCCACTTGTATCTGTGTATTATTTGGTGGATGAAATGAGAAAGAGGAAGAGAGCGAAGGAAGAAGCCATGAAATCCCATATGCGCCAACAATATGCCGATGCATCCCATATTAACCAAGCTGGATCTCCAGTGACCCAATTGAGAAGTCCCTTACAGAAGCCTGTCCACGCCTTTCCGCAGGGTGAAACCTCTGGGCAAAGCCTTTCCAGACATCTGTCCCTCAATAGGACCGAACAAGCTAGCACATACAGACCTGGTTTCAATGTTGCTAGTATGTCTCAACCGCGTTCCCCACCTCCACCTCCTCAGAAAAAGCCACCTCTGCTTCCGTTCCCCGAAAAAGCTCACACATCAATCACATCGAACACTGCTGAAAGATCATCATCCAGTTCTGGCCACCGCGAAGAGTTGGCGAGACAGTTCCAACAACAACAGAGTCCGAAAATCTCAGTCAATAATCAAGAAACATTGGATCCAAATTCTGGGAAGTCAACCGGTTTCAACAGTTTAATAGGAAAAATGTCAGGAAGAAAGCACAAGAATCAGAGCCCATCTCCAAGCGGAGAGTCTACGCCTGTCAAAGAAGATCAAGTGGTGGGCTCCATATCTCCACAATCTTCAGCACAACCCCTGGGTCACTTGTCACCTGTACTTGGTCTTCCTCAACAACAAAGACCAAGAAATGAAGGCTCAGATCTGTTTGTACGTCGTGGTGTGAGTATGAAGATCACAGCAAAGGAGAAATTCGATCCAAGAGGAGACATGAGAGGCGAAGGTCTTCCGCACAGAGATTCTGCTGTCAAATTAGAATCTGAAGGCTACAGGCCACACGGGCGCTCTATTTCCACTGCAGGAAAGCCACCTGGATACGTGCCTCTGGAATATCTTCCCCCGTTGCCAAAAATCAATACTGTTCAGATGCAAAGTGGCACTACACTAGAAGCAGATTCATCAACTGAGGTGAAGCAGTCTCATTTGCAAGTTAACAAGCAATTCCACCCTACGGCGAGAGCAAAGTCGTTAGGTCTGCACGCGAGAAAGGATTCTACTTATTACAGAAGCGGTAAAAACAGACCTGCATTACCTGACAACATGGCTGCCCAGAATAGCGATGACGGTGTCAATGCGCACCCCGAAGAACATGGATTGGGGTTGTTTGATGATGTAACTCTTGACGAGAAGTCCCAGTCCCACATTCCACAACTATCTGAGGCTCAGATTATTGAGCAATTCAACAACGCGAAGCGGAATACGATGCTTTCTATCGAATATCCCAAGACTTTTTTCTTGAAAGGATTTTTCAGCGTGCAAACTACTTCCACTAAGCCATTACCAGTGATTCGTTATAACATATTGAGGGCATTGAGTAAGGTTGGAGTTCTGTTTCAGGAGGTTAAAGGTGGCTTTTTGTGTGTGCATGCCAGCATGGCACCTTCCAAAGAGATAACTTCGGATAAGAATATCACGCCCACAGCAAGCACCATTATTGATGAGTACCGGCTGGATTTGAATAACGAGGAAAGACGTCTCTATGGCGATGCGTTCGACCTGTCTTCCGGCTCTCTTCCGAAGTTGAAAGGTGATGCAGAGGGACTGAGGACGCCTGACAATGAAAGAGGCTCAATGCAAATTCCTCAGATTGTTACCCCTCAACAACCGTCTCAGCACCTCAGCAGGCAAGGTTCGTTGCACGGAAACGAGCCCTCTCTGACAGACTCCTCAATTAATCACGTGAAGGGTCATAAGTCATCAAATTCAACGAATGGCGGTCACAGGAGAAGATTCTCAATTGGTCAAACATTCTTACAGAATTACAGAAAGAAAGATGGCTCCCAATCTTTGATGCCGCCAAACACTCCGGCCGCTGCCAAAATTAACAAGATCTTAAATGCCAACGGCGATATTGATGGAGAAATCGACGAAGAGACTCTAGCTCAAATGAAAAAATTATATTTTGATGACTATTCAATGGAGTCTGTTAACGATGAAATGAATGGTGGTGGAAGCGACATGCTTGTATCATCCAGAATTGAGCAAAGAGCCAGACATCAGCGATCTAATAGTGTTTTCAGCGAGGATGATGATCACAAAAAAGTAGTGCGCAAGACGCCGTTGAAATTTGAGATAAATATCGTTAAAGTGCCTCTTGTGGGGTTGTACGGTGTACAGTTCAAGAAGACTTTGGGTAACACTTGGAGCTATAAGACATTGGCCAGTCGAATCTTGGAGGAATTAAACTTGTGATTTCCTCTGAAATATATCAGAACCTGCGGGCTACTAGAGGGAGTATTACCTAGATTGCACTATAGACCATAATCTTGGTGATATATTAATTTAATGGTTCATTTGTACCATAGTTGTGCAGAGAATATAGTATGCTCATAAAGTGTACATGATGGCGTCTTGCAGTTTGCTGCTGGTGAAATTGCGTAGGTCATATTGCTCAAGACATATACTCATAGATCATGCAGTTCTGCCAAAAATCTTGTCTGGCCAAACATGAAACATAAAGTCAAGAATTTTATTCTCGGAACAGAACAAAAATGGACTTCTGGCGGATTATTCATGAATAGTTCAGTAATGAGACTCTCAAGAACTTGGAATATACTTATGCCAGATAACAAAAATTTACCCATGAATAATTTTTTTGATTATGGTTCATATCTAATAAAGAAAGAAAGATTAGAAAAACCTCCCTATTTATCTAGTCAAACGGTTGGTCCCGACCATTTTGTGACTGGTGGTTCCAAACTCGTTTGTTTTTTTCTTGCAAAAAATAAGGAAAGATATTGTGCCAAAAACAATCTGTCTGTAAGACCGCAGACTACATCGTTAAGCATGAAGCCGACTCTAAAGGACCATACTCTAAATCTCAAACTATTTCTATCAGGAGACCACATTCTTGCCTCAGTCATAAATAGAACTCTCTCTCTACTTTTCGGTTTCAGGTGTCCTCTTTCTCTTTTCATCTTAAAACTTCAGATTATTTGAGACAATGCCTAAATTCAACTATTGTCCCCGTGAACACCACACCGAAAGAATGAGCTCGATGCCTCCATCATACCAAGAAACTATCATCCGTACTTACGGGTCCGCCTTTGGATTGGTTGTCGATAGTGAGACTCTCTATCAGAGGCCTCCCCCATACCTGAGATACAGTGAGACATGTCCCCGTGCCCAATCTGATACTTGGTATATCCGACTCGCTTTGAGTGAAGTATTTGGTATAATACTTTTTGCACTTTATACCGTGATCTTGTTAGTGTTGGGTGCCTATTGCACACAGTCAAGTTGTTAGCAATACTAGCTAAGCTAATTGGGACGACATATCTTCGAAGTAAAAATAGAGGAAGCTCACAAGGCAATAAATCAGTGATTGAAGAATCGAGGCAAGCTGTGTATATTTAATTGAATGAGCGAGCATGAAATTTTCTTTTTAAATGAACATACTATATAACATCTTGACTCACATGGTCAAATACACAATGGAAAAACATCCTATAAAATAATATGTATGATATATTTTAGATTGAAAACGAAGAAATCGCAAGTTTCTCAGCTGAAACTCGTCAAAACATGCGAAGGCCACCAAATTTAGAGAGCCATCAACCTTAACTTCATTTTCTTCGAGTTTGGGCCTGACAACTTTCAATGTTCAATGTTGGTCGTAAGGTTTCTTGATATACGTATATCAATAATCCACAATGATAAGACGCCTGTGACATGCAACGATCACTTACGACATTATGATTATGGGTTTGGAAGACAGAGAATATTTATATGAAGAATCCGAGTAAATCACACCTGGTTATACTGGAATGCCTTAATTCAACACAGCACTTTTAATGTTAAGAATATAAAGAATGATGAATTTCTCAAAACTGTTGTTTCGATATGAAATCTCTTTTTAAAATTGCCCCTCAAAAACTAGACTAATGATACTAGAATTTGCCAGCTACTCAAGTTTCCAAGTCTGATTCAGGATTAAGACCAGCGCATGGGGACCAAAATTTGACACCTAAAGCTATCTGGAACCCAGCACTAGCCTCTAAAACTGCGATTGCAAATTCCAGGCCTAAATCGTACAGCTTGCTCTTCTCTTGAGAAGGGAGTGGGTTTCAGGACCAGGTGGAAAACATCCAGATGGTTTATAAGGTTGATGCGAGTCACATGCGATCATGGGCTTGATGGGGAAAAATAACAGTTGTTCCCAAAGCTTAGTCCTATAGCTTTCTAGAAAAGCAAAACCGACGGCAGTTCGCCTTCACCGTTTCCAAAAATAGTGCATGTGAACATCGAATTTCCTTCCAAAGCAACGCAAACTTCAAGGATTACTCCATTACAAAGAGCATTATTCAAGCCGATTCTTTGAGGACTGGCATCATAGCATAGTTTCACATTCACAGTATTGGTAGAATTTTCAAGTCAAGTACATGTACAAGTTAGCCCGGATAGTTCGCAAAATTTTGAGATGGTAGATCATTACTCATACAGAACAGGCTATGCCAAGAAGTGATTTCTGTAGTTTGGATGCAAGCCACATGCATTCTGACCGTCCAAGAATTCTTTATAGGATAGTAATCATTCTGCAAGTCTCAAAAGCTCAAAGCTGATGCTTTTTGGTTAGTTGGACCTTCGAAATTTCTCGCGATTATGTTGCTGCTTCTGGAAGACGCATATTGAGAACACCAATGAGCCACCAAAAAATACAAAGATGGCCCTGCTTAGATATTTTCATCGACAGCAAGAACCTCGTTCGCGACTTCAGTATTGTTTCTGGACGTGTTTGCATTTTCTTCAGGGCCTGGAGTATGTTGAGCCGATGGAGTCTCTAAATCACTAGTAGTGTCATTGATAGACCTAGCAACCGTATGCGGCTCTGGCATTTCTTCCTCATTTTCCGTTGACTCCATTGACCTGTTAAATGAAGCGGCAGTTTGGCTTGAAGGAGGGGCCGGCTCCATCAGAGCTATGGACGACCCAGGAGAAGCAACAGTCTGAATTGAAGAAACAGATGATTCAACAGAAAGAGGCGTGTTTTCTCTCGAGGAAATAGGAGTCGCATCGGGGACAACAACTGTTTCGTCACCCTTCTCCTTGCGAAGGTTGAGTCTTTCCCCTCTGGAGAGTCCTGCAGTGAAATCCATCCTTAGTTTCAGCTCCTGCAAATCCCGGGCTCTTTGAGAGCGTCTGGATGTAGCATGCTTGAGGTCCTCTAGGTCGTGGGCTTTCCTCTCCTGTTCCTCGAGGTGCTTTTGTTTCTCTTTGGCTTCAATACGCGAAGACCTCTTTCGGGTGGCCAAGAGCCGAGCCATTTCAAACTCTTTTCTCCGGCCCGAGAGGATCTTTCTCTTTTTTATTTCGTAAGAGAATATGTTCGATATAAGCAGGTCGTCGCGGATGACGTCCAACACTGCCTTATTGTTTTTGGTCTTTTTGTTCTTCAGTAAGTCCTTGATCAACGCATCGAGACCGTAGACATCCTTGTATACAAGCTCATACTGGATGGCCGTGATATCAAACGCTTCTTGCGGGTAGTGTGACTCCGGGTATTGAGGAGCCAACTTCCGTTTCTTGGGTATGCTCAATTCCGGCGCCGAGATTGTGCGTTTGTAGAGAGCAGTGTCGTCGAAAAGAAGCAAGTACTCCTCTGCACGGCGAGAATCGCGTGCAGCGAGCTTGGCGCCGGAAAATAGCCGTAAGTTCTCCGGCGGGATCTTGGCCTTGTCGATGAAGTCGCGGAAGTCCGGGTACAGCGATACCTCAGTTATCAAGATGGCCAAGACGGCCAACTTCTCATCGATGAAAAGATCCTCGAAGCACGGATACACGCTTGGATCTGCGACCTGCGGCGAGCCGCCCGCCTCTTCCTCGGAGGGCCCGGACAAAGGCGTGCTGCCCCCAAAATACACGCGGAACAAGGTCTCGAACATCGCCAAAGACAGCACTTTTTTCCCGTGGACCTTGCTGATCAACGCGAGCTTGATTTTGTTGATGAGCAACGCCATGTCGTCCACCGGCGGCGGGTTCACCAACTCGAAAAGCTCGATTTCAAAGAGATCCGTGTCGAAGTGCTCGCTGGCCAAGCGGATGTACCCTCTGCACTGGAAAAGCCAATTTATCACGTAGATGTAGTCCGGGTGGTTCCGGAACAGTCGCCAGCGGGGGTCGTCGGGGTGGCTTTCTTTTAGTGAGGCCACGAGCGCATCGTTGGGAAGAACCACGGGCGTGAGTTTGGCCAAAGTTGCAATTTCGTCTGCCGTGCCGATACGAAGCGTTTCGGCGGCATGCCCGGGGGGCACGCTGGGCGTGGCCGACTTGGTGGAAGGCATGTGCGTTGTGGTATGGTGGTGTTTGTAGAGTATGGAGGAAGAGTTAGAAGAGAGCGTGAGAATACTGGCATCAATGGGGCGCCGCGGCCCTACAAAATACCGGTCCTCCAGGCCCAAGCAAAAATCGAGCCCAGACTCCGCGTCGGGGTACAGGCGGGCGCACGGCTCTATTTATACTAGGACACAAGCGGGGAAGCGCCTGGGATTATTTTTTTGCGAGATCTGGGGCTGTGCTGTGGAATGCTGAATGGTCTCTCGAAACAGGCTTCAAAGTGAAGATGCGAGCCGGATTTATTGCCGGAGGCTCGAGCATATTTATAATGGCTCATGCGGCGCGCGACGGTTGCGAAATCAGAGCGGGCTCAGAACAAAGAGGCCACGCTCAGCGGAGCAGCTTTGTCTGGGTTCTGCCTTGGCGCCCATGTACGTTTGTTTGAGCATCTTGACTAGTTTGGTGCACAGCTCAGTTTAATGTGCATCCAGCTCTGTGTGTTGAGCATCCAGACTTGTTTGCTTTTCTAGGTTTATTGCGCATCTGACATATTGGGGCCTTTCTTATTTTCTTTATTGCGCATCTGACATATTGGGGCCTTTCTTATTTTCTTTATTGCGCATCTGACATATTGGGGCCTTTCTTATTTTCTTATTGCGCATCTGACA